TGCTTTTCTAAAATCTTAGTTCGTAGTTCTAATCTTACTCTCTGTGGGATCGATATCTAGGACTCCATTAGAGCCTTATATTACTTGAGCGATACGTATACTTGCATTGATAAGTGTGACTTTACAATTATTGAATATTTAATACGTCCATATTTATCTTATATTTTATTGCATATATAAAGTCGCTGTCAAAGTTTTTGGCACCGTTGCCGGGGAATGAGTGAGTAAAATTACGATCAGAGTAACAGACAAATTAGGATTATTAGAAAATTTTTACTTAAATTGCAACTTATTTTTATATGTATATTTAGTTAATTATATTACTGAGTACTGATTTCAAATTGTATGCGTAAATTTGGACCTGAAAATCTTATACCCTACGATTCGGAATTAGAACACACTGTTAGAAGGATTAGAAAATTAAGAAGAGAACCTCGAAATTTTGATACAATAAAAAAAAACCTAAACAATCAAGAAATAGAGATTGAACACCAACCTAGACCCCTAAGAGATTATGCAAATCCTACAGCGGATGAAATTCACTTATCTATCCAAAATCCTGATAGGACTGCTAATTCATTTGAGCTTAAACCTGCTATTATCCAAATGATACAAAAAAAATCAATTTGGAGGTACACCAAATGAAGATCCAAACTTACACCTCGCTAGTTTTTTAGAACTGCGTGCTACTTTTAAATATGACAGTCTCAAACGATGTTGTTAGACTTAGACTTTTTCCTTTTTCACTGAGGGATAAGACTAAGATGTGGTTAAATTCGTTAGCACCAGGATGTATTAGAACTTGGGGAGAACTTTCACAGAAATTTCTATCCAAATATTTCTCTTCATCCAAAACTACTAAACTTAGAAATGACATAACATTGTTTAGTCAGATTGATGGAGAGTCAATATATGAAACTTAGGAGAGATTTAAAGATCTTCTTAGGAAGTGTCTTCATCATTTGTTACCAGATTGGTTAATAATTTAAACTTTTTATAATAGATTAGTGGGATATCTTAGATCGATTATAGATGTTGCAGCTGGTGGTTCTTTAATGTCAAAACCTTTTGATGAGGCTTATTTATTAATAGAAGAGATGGCTACCAACAATTTTCAA